GCGCATCTAAACCTTTTAACAAAGCCGACCTACTGAACTATATTTGCACCGAGTCGTGTGCTAGTTGCAGTATAAACTTCCACAAACTTGGCAGGTAGCGAATTCTCTTGCCGACCGTGAAGATAAAGCAGTTCTTTCCATTCACTGTTATCCTCTAAATGGATCACGACGTTATGTTCCGCTGGAATATCTTGACACGGGCGAATGGAACACAACAGTGAATTCGTAGCAAGTTATCTATCTGTTACCTGTAACTCGGGAAGAGTGTATAATCCTCACGGAAAAAATTCCTCGCAGGGATGCGGATGTTTATCTATTTTTACCGTACACGAGCAAAATTGTAGGAAAAACTACATCGTTCTATGAAGCCTACATCCTTGTGAGGCGCCATTGAGAAATAATTGTTGTGGGTAGCGTGTGGGCAGTGCAACACTGAACTTGGGAGGTCAACAAAGATTAGTGTTACGGAAACAGACTCTGTGAGCGCAGCAAATCCATATTGGAATAATAGCGATTTCCATTGGGGAAAACTGGGGCTGCACTCGGGCAGCACTGACACTCCACTGGTTGTATGAGAAATATGCTCTGGTGCAATCTCAATGGAATGACAATTTTTGCGTTGGTTTCTGACATTATAGGTTATGTTTATGTTTTGATTTGTATTCAGTTTAAAATAAACAACGACGAAGTTACATTGTGTATTCCTGTAGACGAAACGGATCACTTATTTAAGTTTGTAGATGACATTTTCAATGAATCCTTCCACTTTTGGCAGTTGTTTGCGTATAACTGGTATAACATACATTTTTAGTTACTTATATGCGTATAACTGGTATAACATACATTTTATCATCATCACTACTACTACTTGATAAAAACGATAATAATGGAGCAACAACTTTGTCCATATTTACCGCCATTTTTTCTTGCACTGACACCGGCACCAGCTCCAAGACCTCGTGCGAAATAATATGCACTCAGAGCAAGAACTGTTGCTCTAGTTTTCCAATGGAATTTGAAAATTTGCACCGACTTGACCAATGGAACGTCAATGGTGCACTCAGTGTGCACCAGTTTTCTCAAAGGAAATCGCTATTACTGAAGATCTTAGAAAACTGATTAAAACAAATTAACTGATTCAGTAATTTAAATATGAACTACGCCTTCTCTGAATCAAAATAGCAAACAAATGTACAGCATAATTTGTAACACGCGATCACACCTTGTCCTATTGCTCACGAATTGTGTTTGTGGCATTATCGCTGACCTGCACTAAGTCTTGTTCATTATTCGTCAGTATACGAAACTCTTCGTATATTCCCACAGAAAGAAGTGAATCGACATGAGATCTGAACTCCTCTGAAACAAAGAAATGAAACCACCGTTGCCTATCCAACGCCTACTACTTTCGGTATCCCAAAAGTCCACGATCTTCACGGTTGAGATGTGGAAGTATTCCGTCGTGCATGAACCATCCTCCGTAAGATATCTAATAACAAATAAAATTGATCGAGCAGCAATGTGCTTGAAATGTAGGAAAGCATGTCAATTTTCTAGATCCAAAGATTCCAATTTCTAATATTACGAATTCTTTGCCTTGTAAACCGCGCTGATCCACTAAACATTTCGTGTAAACTGCGGATCTTCCAACAATTCACAAAAATTTCAGCAGAGTGCAATATCCGCAGTTATAGGATTTGTTCGAAACGATAATAGTACAAATAAAAGTGATTTTCGCCTAAAATTCCCCAAATCATGTTTCCGACAAGTGAGTTACAAAATTTCTTCGACAAATTCAACAGGACGTATTGTCTCCCCAGCTTTATACAACACATTTTATGCTTTTATATTTTTCTATGTAGCACACTCACAGTACACACAGTTATACGTATTATCACAATATTCTTACTTAGTAAAGGTTGCCATTGTTACATTTTTACACCAGAGCATCTCCGTACTTATTAGCCAACCATTGATCTAAATTATCAAAACTAAATGTATCAAGGGGACACATTTGGCGAGCGACAAGGACATATATTTGATTAAGATACCTATAAAAAATTGCCATGAAATTTTAGATGATAGACTAAATCTCTCTTCAAAATATCTCGGTCCTAATGAATCACCCTGTATATGAAAAACAGTTCCGTAATGTGCGTCATAATTTAAAGGATAATTTTAGGTTCAAGGGATGTAATTGATATCGATTTGGTTGTAATACCACTGAGCTTTGACGTTTTGTAGAGCGATATAAAATAGCATATCATGTTATAACAAATTTACCTAGTATAAAAAAGTAACTATTACAGTGTTATATGTCGAACGTCAATAGTTGAAATAATAAATCTTTATTTAGTTTATTTATTAGATATAAATATATTATGTAATTCGTATACATGCAATTATGCATCGTAAAATGTAATTTATATCGATATCGAGATCTGTATAACGTGTTTAATTATGGTTAATTTAGAAAATTATTGCCTTGTACGAATGTCTTAATAATATCAGGCCACATAAGAAAATGTAAGATGGTAAGAGAAGTAACTTCGAAGCTATACAGGGTATTTCCTTGAAAATGTTGATTGAGGGCACGAAAATAAGCAACTTTTTTTAAGCAACTGATATACATTACGTATTTGATGTCGGAACTATGGCAAAATTCCACACGGGGCTGAAAGTCATTGTTATTTAATGCCCGAGCCTGAACCCTTTCTACATGATAGGGGTGTAATAATTATTGTTCTCGTAGTACACGCCACACGGTACTAGTAGTATTATACGCCGGCTAAGTAATACTGCAACTCACAACGCCCGTGCACAAGATGCACAGGGTCGGCTTACATTTATGGTTAATTGTCTTAATTATTTTCTAGGAAACAGAAGCATTCGGACCATCGGTTGCTTAATAAAAGTTACTCATTTTCGTGCCCGTTTCAAGGATCGCACTTATTTCAAAAACACCCTGTATATGTCAAACAAAAATTAACATTGTAATAGATAACGTAATGTTTATCTGAAGCACAAATGTGCTTTACTGTATTTTAGCGTTCTTTGAATTAAAATTACTTAAAACTTTAAAACGAAACCTCAATATTTGGTCTTTTCCCCCAACTGTAAGTGTATTGATGCACCGAACATCAGTTTATTTGAAGCCGCTCGTAAATACTTCTGTCAGTGTAAACAATAACTTCCACATTAAATATGTCTTGTACATTTTCATCCTTAATTTTCAAAAACATTATGCCTCAATTTATTTTCAAATGATTAAAACCTGAACTATGATTACGTTATTTTTATTAGAATATGTTTTAAGAGTTCGGGAACACGCGACTGTTACAGTCTTTCCGAAGTCAGTTGAATATGCAAAAAAAAACATCTGGTAATAAAATTTAATGAGTTTCATAGGCGTCCCTAAAAAAATTTTCTGCTAAATGTAAAAAAATATAATAATTTGTATATAATGTGTAGAAAATTTCTATTATATGTTCATTTGGCCAACAACATATATTAATTATTTATGTATTATTTATGTTAAATTTCACTTTGTTCCGTTTCAAAAGGTCTCCAAAATACCATGTTGTGATAATATTAGTAAACAAAATATCCCTCTTTTTTCTCCCTTTCGCAATTATAATATGAATGATTGATAGAAGGTGCCTATAATAAATTAAAATTGCCTGATTCACCCCAAATTCCGCATTGCTGCACTGCACTGCTGGGCAATTTATGAACCACTTGTTGCCTGCTGTGATTTATTGCCCAGAAGCCCAATACAACTGTGTTCGTTTTCCGTTGGCCACGCTCGCATTCTTCAACTGGTTGTATACATTTCTACCACCTGCACGTTTAGTTCGACCAGACCTATATATGGGTAAGGCTAAATAAATATGGGAACAAGTTTTTCAAATATTTCAATGCCGAGTTGCTGCTTAGCGGTTGAGCCTGGTACATACCTTGAAATTATAGGTTCTTCAATTGACTTCGGAAAAACTATACCAGAACCGGATTCAGTTTACAAATGCAAATATGAATACGTTCATATAAAATACGTCGTGACACATTAGTCATATGTCATCGCCAATCATTGATCCTTCAGGGAGTTCTGCAGTTTGTTTATCTTTGGTATTAAAGAAGTAAATAACAATTTTAAACCATGAAAATGTTTATCATATAACCTACGAAATTAGTATTAAGCAACATTTGGGTTAATTCCCGTTTTTTTACCTTTTCAATTTACTTTTTCTCTCAATTTTTACATAATGCAGACTGTGAAAATTGTTTATATAGCGTTTAGAGATCTTTTAATATCTCATGAGCCGCGAAATGCGCGAAAGGCGTGGCGTATCCCCATAATTCTTCTAATAAGCACGTTGTGAAAACATTGACTCAGAATTAGAATACGTGCCTCATTACAACTAGAAATGAACTAAGGCGTTCGGGCATCAATAAAGTCAACTGGCGAACGTTCGTTATTATTTTTATTGTAATAAAGAATAGGGCATTTTATTATGATATTTGTAATCGGATCAAAGGCTTGTTTACGCTAGAGCTCGAGAGAGACTGTGAATAATAGGTGTAATGTTTTTAGGACGTAGAATAATTTATAGGCGACGGTCGGAATTATGTTTCTGCGCATATGAAGGTCAAAGCTCATAAGATTTTAAAACATCTCTACATGCTGACTACAACTTACGTCGATGTTCCCAAGAAATGAATGAAGCAGTCGACCGACTGCTATGAACGGGAAATTATAAAAATTAAAATATGGCGATCCATAAATTTCTAGACGATAAAAAAACCTTGATTTCCTCGTTTTTTTTCGACCATAAATATTATACCAACCTTTATGCGACTATTTACCTTTATTAGGCAATTTTACAAAGGCCCTAAAGCCCCTCTCAAATTTCAAATCTCGACTTTGCCCCCATAACTCAGCGCCATTGCGTAGGAAGATCATGGCAAGTAGTATTATTCTAATAAGAATTCTTTTGTTTCAGGATGTCGGCAAGATTTTTATTGACGCCGGCCCCGCGCTGGCTGCGCCGCACAGCTGGATAACTGTAATAAAATTCTTTAACAAAAAGGTATGTGTCATTCAGATTTAACGTAATATCTCCTTGTCGGTATACGCCTTTTTTGCGGTCGCCGCACTGGTTGCGCGGTTCCACCGGGACGAATTCGCTACGGATAGAATTGTAGGAATATCTATCTACCTATACAAGGCAAAACATTAATTTTATAGAACCGTTTTCAATATTAAGTCAGGTTTTATTGAGATTTGTAGTTATTTTAAGTAGTTTCATATAATTAAAAGCTGAAGCCAGAAAGCTTTTGTCTGGTTCAAATAAAACGCTTAAGCTGGCCATACACTAGACGATTTCTCTGGTTTTGTTCAAATAAAATACTTAAGCTGGCCATACACTAGACACTAGACTATATTGTAGCAATATTGTTACGTTTAACAAAAATCTAAGTCAGTCATTGTTTTAGTCCATTATTTGTTTAGTAATTTACTTGACAACAGTAAAGTGATAAAAAAAATGCGTAGGTACCTTTACCGCATTATTAATTAATTAAATACAAAACTAGACTGTTGAAATTCGATGATATGGTTAAAAAGAGACAAAATTTTGTAAACTATGCAAATTTTTTTTAACTATAAAATTATTTCTCTAATCTGTCCTAATTCAACAATATTTGGCCTATATTTACTACCATAACGTTTTAAACATAAAAATGATGCATTGTGTAGTAGAAAGGGACTTTTAAAGGACCAACCACTAGATGATGAAGATGATGAAGATGGAGGAGTAGAAAAGGGAAATATTTAAAATGACCCCCGACTTATTATCACTTTTAATATATTAGCATAAAAATCATGAATCTGTACAATGTGGTTTGGATTATTTTCTTATAAAAGAGTATAGTTTCTTTTAATTTTGATTATATTAGAATTTGTTACTGTAAATTCATCGGGAAAACCATTGTTTTGCTATATTTATACAGTGTGTCCGAAAATGTGGCAAAATTATAACAAATGAAAATGTAGAAACGTAATTTTTTTGCACAATGTATGAATGAAATAACAATCAACTTATAAAAATTAAGTCTCATTTCAAATCAGTGGCGGACATATGAAGTATGTATGCTGGTTACACTTTGTCGTTTTTAAAATGCAAATTTTATTTGACCAAAAATAATCATTTGACTTTATTGCATAGCTTTTACCGTTTTGCTACAAATTAGCAATGGATGTAAAAAAAAAATTACAAAATGCAGCTGCAGATTTTTTTTCTTAAAAATTTAAGACCGTGTTTCTTAAGGAGGTTTATCTGATTTGGAATTGACGAATAAATATTCATAAAAAAAATTAAAATAAGCTTATTAATATGAAGAAAATCCTCAAAAAAAAATTATGAGTAGTTTGGATACCTAAGATACGAGATATTAATAAAATATTTTTTCACGATTTAGTACAGAATCTTATGAGAATGCAGATTATTTTGGTCTTTGCACTTAGAATGCGCAACAATTGACGAACAGTTTCCACAACAACTTGTATAAATAGGAAATCGATATCTAAGGAACCGTATGACAGCTTATAGAAATCGATTAGGTACTTGTAAGATACATAATTTATAATAATTCTCCTTCAAACTGCTGTCGTTGACTAACTTATCCTCCATATGCGTGATAGCGGCAACACCGCGGTCTCGATGTAGCGTATTATTTGAAATTCTTAAGTGTTCAAACAAACAGAATGATCGAACGGGAGTGAGCGAAAGCCGAGCCGAGCGCGCCAGCCAAGTGCAACGTTGCTAAATCTAAAGGCTTTCTACTTTAGTTACTACGAATCTACAGAAACTTTCGTTAGACTTTAGACGGATCTCCGTACCCAATAAACCTCCTTAATGACGAAAACACCCTAATTATAAATTTATCTAAACGTCTTTCCAAATTACTATTTGTACCAAAACGGTTTTAAAAGCTATGTTAAAAAGTCAAGATGTCTATTTCGTTCAAAATAAGATTTACATTTCAAGAATAACAAAAAATATTGTTTATCCAGTGGCGTGCCGTAATTTTTAAGAATAGTGTAACAGCATTGTTGAATGCCGTTTTATCAACGTATTGAGGCTGACAACTAAATCAAGCTAAAATTTATTGAATCTGTTTATAATTACATCAGTCAGTGGCGGCGATGCTGGGGAATAGCGTCATAGGCCTTTTGATATAATTGTATTTCAAACAAAGAAGATCTCTTCCATTTTATAAAAAAGTGCAAATTGCTATGCCTGTGGGGTTTGTGATTTATTACATTGTATTTGCCACTAAAAAACACTATCATTGCTTTCTGAAACTAACAGTTTTAGAAATATTTTTATTATTTCAACTACATATGCGATTTGTTTATTTTGGGCTAAAAAAACAATCATTGGAAAATTACTTATTTTGCGAATAAAAGAAAGTGACATTTATTTCTTGCAATACAATCAAATCAATCAAATTGACCCATCGAATTTCCAAAATACCCAGTGATGTTGAAATTCGGGGGTTCAATAAAAGTTAAACATTTTCAGAAACATTTGTGATATTTTTTTATAATTTTTGCACCTTGCACGTACTTTGAACTTTTCAAAATGTTAACTAATTTATTTAAAACTAGACTGTCGCTCTCCACTTTTTTTATATATCCGAGTAACAAAGAAAATGGTTTTCAGGACCAAATCTACATTCATTTTGTGGCTATTAGTAGTACCTACTATGAAAAGTTTTTATTTAAAATATCTGTAAATATAGCGACGTTAATAATGTTAACATTTCCAGTTATATTAAATTAGGAACACCCTATATTTTCGAATAAGCCAAAATTAAAACGAATTCGCTTACTTTTGTTATTTACGGATCATGTTTACATAATGATACAACAGAAACCTTTTATTTTTAATATCGGCAATACAATTACGAATTCCCAGGGGCATTAAGTCGTCCGTTTTCGACTCATTTTCCTACGCATTGTAGCGACCGATTGTTTGCCTTTCTGATAAAGCATTTCCTGGTTTCGAGGTAACGTTGAACAAGCCTAAAATCAATTTTCGATTACGATTTAATCAGATTTTCTATTATTAACCAGTTTGGGAGATATTCAAGCCTTCAAATGTACGGTAATATGTCGGGTCGTACTATAACATCGCTCTAACTGCTCATTTGAAACTATTATGAGGAAGAAGATTACTATTAGATGTGTTAGTGATTAAGAGCAACCTAATCTGTTGTAACAGGTATTAGACGTTATTTTTTTATATGTATTTAATACAACCTAATTCTAATTTTCATTTAAATTTAATGAGTATATTTTATCAGATCTCCAAAACGCTTAATATTCATTATGTTTAACGTCGCAGTAATATTATCTTGAAAATTGTACTATGCATTACCGATACCAACGAGACCTTGCAGTTAGTATTCCACTTCTATTGGAAAATAACGAAAACGAGAAACTCCAGTCGGGTTTTCAACAGAACATGTAAAAGATTTATCCGGGTATCTCCCTGGAGTATTTTATGTTAAAAGTTCGTGGAGGTTTAGACGTAATAGGAAGTGACGACATGGTCGTTGCAATTATTTAGTCCTGCAGCAAAGAGAATAGTGAAACTCTAGTAGTTGGTCGTGTGCTCAGATTTGTACATTTTCAAAATTGTAGCTCACCGAGACTTTCAGTTTAATCGTATCATTGTGGTTTTATAAACTACGCTATCGTATATCTAACGATCGTATCTTAACTTCTTACCATAACTTATTTTATCGGCATCAGTGGTTGTATCAACCTATAACATTAACTCATCGCGAATCTTTCTAAATTGGATTTGAGTGTCCTTCTACATATTTCATTTTTATTGCCCGTAATTAATTTTCGTTAAAAACTCTATTTTCAGAATGCATATATTGGCTCTACCGATTTCGATGGAATTCCTCGATTTCATAGGTATATTGGGGAAGTAGAAATTTTATCAAATTAAATGCTCTTAACTGCCAAAGTACTGAACGAATAAATTTGTGAACATTTTCATTCATGTTTAAAAAAAATGATAAGTTGAATTGTTGGGATAGGGCCAAAACTTAATATTTATGTGATTTATACTCGACGCCACAGGAAAAAAAATAAACATATACAGGGTGATTTAGAACTTATTAAAAAAAAATAATAAGACGTACAGGGGACTCTTACAAATATAATTTTGTAAAGAAAAAATCAAAAAAGGCAGTACGAAAGTGATTTAAAAATACACTTTCATGACGACAAAATGTGATAAAAATGGATAAAAACTTGAAAGAATTTCGCAAGGCAAGAAATAAATAGAATTTTATAGCGCCTATTTTATATCAGCAAATTCAACTGCTTTTGCAGCTATTCTTTTATTAATTACTAAAATTAATTTGTGGTTTTACTTAATAAAATAATTTGACATACCTGATGTTACAACTGTTCAAAATTTTGTCTACCAACGTGTAGCAACATTTGAACCCTCTTACACAGTTTGTATGAACTAACACAAATGTTGTCTTGCTTTACCATAACACAAATACTTCACCATAATACAAATGTTGTCTTCCTTCACTATAAAGTAAAACGATATCCATTAACTCTGAGTTGCTATACACGCAAGCCATTTCAGATACTACTAAAAAACTATTGTAAACACTATCGCAACGACGATTGTAAAATCAGATTTGAGTATTCGGAGTCGTGGCTCTCCACGCGTATTACGAATGACGTTAGAGACTATAGTTGTCCAGCTATGTAATGGTTGAAAGTACTACAACTTCAATAATTTTTTTCTCGGAAACTATACGGATTTTACAAAAAAAATAATTTTTTTACGATATTCAGTTCATTTCTCATGCCGCATCTATTCCCAAATTTTTTTGTATAAGTTGTGAATCACCCTGTATAATGTCGCAGCACCGTTGATTAATTTGAAATTTTAATAAAAAAATTCCTAAAATAATGCGAAGACAAAGGCTGCAATATGTAAAAAAATATCATATTAAATCAATGAGGTTTATGATTAATATACATTTT